TGCTTAAAAATATTAGTCCATTAGCTTTTCTGTCAGGAAAAAGATGATCTTATAACTAATTCTTCCCATTTTAGATGATATAATAAGTGATATAATCTATTAGTGCAAGGATGGTCTGTCTGTTTGTTTGTTTGTTTGTTCCATGCATAACTCTCAAACCACTCATCTGACCGATCTCAAATTCAGAGGGTGTCGTCCTAATGGGGCGGGTGTGTGCAGGGCCAATTATCATGTTGTTAGGACAAAAAATGCCAAAGATCTGGTCAAATTAGTGATATATTTTAAATATAAATGACCACTTCCACATGGTGTCATGTGACCACCATGAAAAAAAAATTCAGGTAGAGTGGTTATGAAGAGCAGAGCATCTGCGGCTCTGCAACAGTTTATCAAAATACCACAGCTTCCATCCTCCAACCACTCGATGTTGATCTAGAACAATCTGTAGGTTTATTCTCCTCTGTCTCTTCAGAACTCACCTCTGTGTGATGTTCCAACTGTTCTGCTCACTCTGTTCTCACGACGCCAACTTCACTGGGTTTTCTTTCTATTTAAATGCTTCATCTCAGTTCTCCTGAATATCTCCAACAGGATTTATCTTCATTCAGATCCTCTTACAGTTTATGCCACACAGATCAGATATTTTTTGTTGCCCCAAGAGTCAAAAAACAAATTAAACAAACGGAAAACATTTAAATATAAATCTCCCTTTGATTGGAACGATCTTCCCTCATCAATTCACACTTGAACTTCTGTCCCTTGGTTTCAAAATGCTCTGGTGCAATATTTACAGAACTTGTGTCATTGTTTTTGATCATCTTGTTTTATTTTGTGACTCAATTTAAACTCTGTCTTAGTTTTTCTTCAACTTTGACTTATTCAGTGTCTAACAGTCGTGTGTGAGTGTGAGTGTCTGTGAGTGTGTGTGTGTGTGTGTGTTTGAGTGTGTGTGTGTATCAGAGGTGGGACCAAGTTGTTGTTTTGCAAGTCTCAAGTAAGTCTCAAGTCTTTGACCTCAAGTCCGAGTCAAGTCCCAAGTCAAATACAGACAAGTCCAAGTCGAGTCTCAAGTCACTGACCCATAAGTCCAAGTCAAGACCAAGTCAAGTCCAAGTCAAATCCAAGTCAAATCCAAGTCAAATCCAAGTCAAGACCAAGTCAAGACCAAGTCAAGAC